GTCACCATCCAGACCGGCGCCCACTCGAGTATTGAAGACGCGAGGGTAACGATGCTGCTCTTCCGCAAACACAAACAAGCCTTTGACGTCGATCACGCGAATCGCTTCCCCGGCTCCGGGAACGCATCGTCAAAACCGAAACCAAACTCAAAAAAGACTAAAAAGAAGAAATGAGCTTCAAGTCTAATCGCCTACGATCTCTGCTGCGTCGGAGTCGTGACCCCGAACGTCCTTCATCATTACCACCACCTGAGCCTTCGGGGGCTCACCACAATCGCCGCAACGCCATGCATTCCGCCTCTTCAATTCAGATAATCCCTTTACAGAGGAATACCCTCCATCAATTCCAGAGCGCCCTCGCGGCCAACCGTTATTATCACATCGCCGAGCGTTTTCGTCAGGAATCCGGCTTCGCAGTATGTGAAGTAATACTGAGAACTCATTAGCATAGACCAGGAAGGACCAGATGGTACATTCTCTCACCTCCCATTTCCTCCTAAATACATCAATCTCTTCCTCGGTCATGTTCTCGTGTTCCAGCTTCAGTGCTGGCCGGATCTTCTCGTCAAAGTTTTGCAGGAACGCCTCCTTCCACAGGCGCAGCGTTTTTGAGTAGTGGCCACCAATGTTTTCGACCTTCTCGACGATGAGCGTTCCCCTCGACTCGTTTGTAATGTGGTTCAACAGCTGGGTGATGGATGGCAGGTACCCGCCGGGGAAGATGTAATGGTTGATGAAACTAGTGCTCGTCAGCGCGGCGCTCTAGGCAAGCCCTGCCCTTGCCGGTCACTCACTCTTCTCCCTTGGAGTACGCCTCATGTCGGCCCTCTGGCATGGTAATGCACTGGAAGACCGCGATGCCGCCGTCCTTCTTCAGCAACTTGTCCATGCACGCGAAATACGTCGCCAGAAACTCCTGCCCGACGGCTTCCAGCATCTCAATCGACACGATCTTGTCAAACGGCTTTTCTGGCACTTCCAGCGCCCGGTAGTCCATCAGCCTCACCTCGATTCGGCCGCTCAAGCCCGCCGCCGCGATGCGCTCCTCCGCGAGGGCCTGTTGTTCCTTGGACAGTGTCAGACTGGTGACGCGGCACCCCGTCGTCTTCACCGCCTCGATCGCGAACGAGCCCCAACCGGTGCCGATCTCCAACACATGGTCCGAAGCCTTTATGCGCGCGCCGTCGATGAAGCGGTGCAGCTTGGTCATTTGCGCGGCCTCCAGGCTTTCTTCCGGCGCGTTCGGGTCGGTTTGCGGTTGCCAGATGGGGCATGAGTACGTCATATCCGGCGAGAGGAAGGCGGCGAACATTTCGTTGCTGATGTCGTAATGCGCCGAGATGTTGAGAAGCGCGTTCGAAAGGGTGTTCGTGGTGCGGGCCAGGCTTGAGATCGCGGCGGAGAAGCTTGAGATCCACGTCGTCCCGTTGCCCATTTCTTCGCGATTGACAATGAACAGCTGTTGGCGCCCGCTCACCGATTAGCTCATTGTGACAGGCAATTGAATGAAATGTCGCGCAGGTGTGCTTTTTACTGACCTGGAAGAAGGCGGTCAAGTCTTTACACTCGATCTCCCCAAGCATGTACGCCTCCGCGAAGCCCATGTCGGCGAACAGGAACAGGCGCATCCAGAAGGCATCACTCTTCACGACCAGCTCGACGCGGGGCACGGCGTCGGCGCGGCGCGGGACATGGTGGTCACCGTTGGTGAGGTTCTCGTTGTACTTTGCGCCGAGCTTCTGGCCGAAGACGTGCCTCGACTCGGCGGGCTCGTCGACCAGCAGCAGCGTGCCGCGCTCAATCTTGGAGAACACGGAGAAGATGGCGGGCTTGGCTACGGACAGCGCCGGGCCCCAGGTCAGGCTCCCGACCGCACCTCTCACCAGCTCCGTCCCGCGGGACAGCGGCTGGGCTACGGCCGCTGGGACGAGAGAGGGCAGCTTAGGCATAATCGGTTCCGGTCGAGGAAAGGCAAAAACTCAGTTGGTTTCTATATGTCTCTCTCCCCAACTTTCTTGAGGGAGCGCGGGGGAAACAGAAAAAAGGCCGATTGACGTATAAGACGGGAAAGCGCAAAAAGTCGGTGGTACGATTTGGGGACGAACCGAATTACCGTCAATTGGATTGGGCGGGACGCCGAGGGAACCTAAAGCAAGCTCTCAAGGTACAAATCTGGGATCTTGCATCTGCTTTGTTTTGGTTCCTCGGTGATGGAGGGGGGCTGGATTTGGGATTGGAGGGGGGAGGGAGGGTTGAGAAATGCGGAAGGTTTAGCTATTGGCAGGACGGTAGTAGTAGCAGCAGAAGTAGCAGAAGTAGTAGCAGCAGCAAAGGCAAGGTCAGAACGTTGTGGTGTTCACATCTGAGACCACGAGGCAGGGCGGGACGATCAATTTATTCCTACACTATGTCACCACACAGCATTTCTTCTGGGGGGCGACAACGGTTGGGAGGGGTGGTTAGAGGAGCCAGCCCCGCGGCGCATAGGTGTTCACTCTAGCTAGAAGAGAACAGGAGAGAAAAAAGGGCCACCGGCATATGCTCTTGTTGCCCTTTCTCTCTCGTCACGGATGCAACGAGCGCGTGCTTCTTGTCTCGCCCATCGGTACCGTCGCAAGCCCGAGGGCCAAAAATGTGGGCGGGAGAGGGTCCCGACTGGGATGAGCATGAGTGGGATGGTGGGTGCGGCAGGGGTAGCTCAGACGGGAATCTCTCGGGAGGGGCAGAGGCCTTGGCCATCGCTTGTTTCATTGAGGACGTCGATGGACGTTATGGGTGACGATCACGGCATTGGCTTGAACCTGAGATGTATCCTTGTACAGATTCTTCAGACACATGTATCCAGACGCAATAAGGCACCGATCGTCTGGTGTGGTTTGGTTGACTCTTCAAGAGTGGTCGCTGCGTGTCATTTAGAACCGCAACAGAGAAGAAGGGTGATTTCGTAGAGTAGCAGCAGCTTCAAACTCTCAACATTTCTTCTTAGGGCAGGGCTAAGACGGCATGATGTCAATTGGTACCAACGGAGACATGGCGAGCCGAGCGCATGGCAACGAACGCATGTGCGCTTCCATCGGAGTTTACCTTTGGCTTTGAGCAAGCTCATTCGCTGCTCGTGTCAAGAACCATTACATTGCCCAAAGTACCTACATCCATCCCACGGAACGAAGTCCTGGACCACCACCACCACCACCTAGTAGCCTCCATGGACACTAGACCGGCCAGTGCGCCGCCCGGAGCGTCCGGCCGGAGCCACGTTCAGCCATCGAACTGCTGCTAGTGTCAGTGATGGAAGCACGAGCTGCAGGTTTCGAGAAGCCGTCGAACGCTGCCTGTCCCCGGCTGGCAGAGGGGCAGGCGGACGAAACAAAACGGAGCCTAGCCTAGGGCAGGCTTGACGATTCAGGAGCCCATCGGCCATCGGATGAAGATGCTTATTTTGCATCAAGCGCGCTGACCTCGATTGCGCGTTGCCTTTCGTCTCTACATGGGCGCATTTTCAGGGACTGGGACAATGCGCTTTCACGAGCAAAGAAAAGCAATTGGGGTTTCTCTGCTGAGCAAGTGAGGATATCTGCATTGATGCAGTGGCAGCACTTGGCAGATCCCGGCAGGGCCTGCGACGCGGCAGCATTCGTTTCTACGGCGAGGACGGCTGGCTGGGGGATTAGTCGTACATTCATTCGCCTTGGGTTAGTCCGCCTGCCAACTGGGTGAGGTACTTTGGAGTGAAATGCCAGTCGAGCCGTCAACGATTTTCCTTTGACACCAGTTTCCCATCTTTGAACAAAAGTCCGTCCGTCGGTGCGAGCTCCGATCCAGCAGAGAAACGGTCGATGACCGGCTCTGCGGGAGCTGTCGACTCGTCGCCGTGAGAGAGAGGCGAGCTACAACGAATTAGACGAGGCGTGGAACCCGATTTGGGGCTGGTCCCCGTAGATGGTGAACGCCGAGGAGGGGGAAGCACAGGGTCTGCGGAGCATTTTGTGTGCTTCTGGAAATCCGGCAGGGGTTGTTCTCATGTCAATGACATCAAGACTTTGGACCTCTCCACCGCCGCCGCCAATTGCATGGCTGAGATTTCGCGCAGGACTCGACTCCGAACTTCGTATTCCGAGGAGGGAAAAAAGTCAGAGGTCAGATGGGCATTGAGTTGTACGTCTGAGAAGATTGGATTTTTGTAAGGAATAAAGAAAAGGGATGGAATCATTACGAGAAAAGTGTGAACGTGGCTGGGGGGCCTGGGGCGGAACTTCTGGGTGTTTTAACATCCGGTCTTGCAGCAACTTGGGTATGTAACCAAATTGACCACGTACTTGTCTCAAGACACCTAACCCGCCCGTGGGACCGACCGTCTTAAGGCTTGTGTGCCTTGTTCCCTGGGCCATGGGAAACGATCCCTGTGGTAACGGCTAAAGATGCAAGACGAGGCATTCGGGTCTCGAAGGAGGCTGGGTGTTGGCCGAGGATTGGACAAGTTCTGGTGTCAAGAGTCAACTAGCAGGATGCATGTCTCTCAGCAGCAGCACGCCTTGTAACATCACCCAGCCTCTTCAGCCCAGCCAGAGCGCGCAGCCTGACTCAAAGTGTGCCTGTAGCTTCCCCATCTGCCACACTCCTAGAAGATGCCCGCCAGTGAACGAAGCGTGTACGCATAGGCAGGGCAGTTTCGACGAGGAAAACTGTCGTGCCGTCATGATGTGGTCGGGTACATACAGTGTACATACAGTACAATCCTTGCGGCTGGCCTGGCCCGAAGCCACTGAAACAGCGGGAGGAAAGGTCTTGGAGGGGGGGCTCGTGCACCGTGCACCACACCCTCTCTTCTGAAGCCAAGACCTGTCTTATCGATACCGATAAGCTTATCGAGACGCCTTATCGGCTTTAATTGAATTCAATTCGCGTCTCTTTCGGAAAAGACGCGTCGTGTGATACTCGGCCCAAAGAATCGCAAGTCTGCAACTCTCACCCCCTGATGTCAATTCAGATACGAAGGCAACATGTCGCAACCAATCCTCTCTATCCAGTCCGGCGACTCTAGCAAGAGCAAGGCAGTGGCTAACCTGCTGCCTTGTCGAATCCATCACGATGGCCCGATTGGCGAGGTTGAGTCCTCCTTTTGGAAACCCACCAAGACAGATGGTTCGCACATCTCCCGTTCTCCCTCTGACGCGTGGCATCACCCTGACTCTTCATCACAGATGGAAAGAATGTAGCATACTTTCGCGGCAGGAAACTCCACGGAACGACTGTCAAGCTGCCTGGGCAGTACAGAGGAGTGGTGATGGAGAAGAGCGACAAGGTCGAGAACAGGCAGTCCGAAGTCGAGGAAGAGGTTGAAGAGGAGGAGCCGCTAGTAGAAGTGGGTGCCATGGACGTCAAGGCCGAGTTTGACGAGATGGTCATCTGGGGACACGAGGCCAGCGCCGAGGCTGCGTCGGATCCGTACGTCAGGAGTATCGAGGAGTGGCTCACGGTGGCGGACCAGGTTGGTGGTGACTCGGTTTCGATGTTGATTTCGTTTGGCTAATGTTGATGATACAGATACACTCGTATTCGTCACCAGACAACAAGAACGGCGCATAGGGAGATGGTGGCGCATATTTGCTGGGGAATCTTCATCTCAGAAGCCCCCTCCACGGAAGTGATCAAGAGAGTCCGGATAGGCAGTCACGGGGGACTAAACCTTGATTAAATAAATCTGCTGCCCTCTGCGCTGCTGTCCAAGAGAGTATGGCGGCTAGATTGAGCTCGTTGGCTAGGCACGTTGCTTAAGCAGAAGATGGCCGCATAATTGCATTGTTCAGGCGTTAGGAAAGGAAGGGGCCGTGTTTTGGCAGACAAACAAGAATACCACATATTTCACAAATCATCAACATCATTGTTATTTCCAGTGGACAAAAATGCAAAGCAACAATCCACTACGCTGGGCGGATGTGCTTGCTCAACATCAGTGACCCGGCCACCCAGCATCGAGGTGCTGCTCACCAATGTGCACTAACAATTAACCCGAAAGAGACTAGCGTCAATGTACTCAATATACGCCGTCGCGACACCCCTGAGCAGCAACGCGTCCCTACGCGACTTGTGCCCCTCTCGCGTCAAAATCAATTAAGCCCCTGGCCAATTCTGCCGTCTCCAACTGCGAAAAAGGATCCATCGCATCCCACCACCCAAAATCACACCTCCCCCAAAAATCACCATCCCGCATCACCGCCTTCATCCCCCCACCGCCAGCGCTGCTGCATCATACCCGAACAGACGACTACATACTGAGCAGGCGCAACACCAAGAACAACAACAATGGCTGCTTCAAGCGATGCCGGCTTCTTGATGTCGGACGCCCCGTCCCGCGCGGCGGGTACCCCTAGACGCCAGTTCATGCCCAGCTCCTCTGCCGGCAGGCCACGAGTGCCCCCTTCCGAGAGCATGGGCGCTCCCAGCGACGACGAGGCCGAGGGCTTCGCTGACGACCAGGTCCCACGCGGCTCAAGGATACAGGACGCCTCAAACGTTCCCAAGGTCGAAGACAGGATTGGCCTACTGGTCCAGGAGCACTTTGAAGAGTTCATCGAGCAGTGAGTACCACTTCTTCCAGCTTTGAGGCTTTTCTCAAGAGCATACCTGACGATACGCCTGGCAGATTTGTTGAGGACTTCACCTCCTCTGCCCCAACGTCCAGCGCCGTCACCACGGACAAATACTATGTCGCCCAGATCCACGGCATGCGGGCGCTCCAGCTCTCTACCTTCTACGTTGACTGGAAGCACCTGGAGTCCTGGAATAAAGGAGAATTGGCCGACGGTGTCCTCCGTGGATACTACCGCTTCCTCCCATTCCTCACCGCTGCTTTACACAACATGATCGCCAAGTACGAACCGCAATACTTCAAGGAGCACAGGCAGCCAACCTCCTCAAGTAACCAAGCCACCTCTGCCGCCAGCAACATGGGCTCCGCTAGCCAGTCGGAAATGGGATCCAAGACGACCAACCAGCAGACGGACAAGCTTTTCAATATCGCTTTCTACAATATGCCCCTTATCTCGAGAGTGCGCAGTCTCAGAGCGACGAATATCGGCCAACTTCTGTCCATCTCCGGTACGGTCACGCGAACATCCGAGGTTCGTCCTGAGTTGTCGCTCGCAACCTTTGTCTGCGAGGCGTGCAGATCGGTTGTGCCAAATGTCGAGCAGACCTTCAGATACACGGAGCCCACGCAATGCCCCAACTCAACATGCCAGAACCGCCAAGCATGGCGATTGGACATTAGGCACAGCACATTTGTCGACTGGCAGAAGGTGCGCATTCAGGAGAACAGCTCTGAGATCCCCACGGGAAGCATGCCTCGTACGATGGACGTCATTCTGCGTGGTGAGATTGTTGACCGGGCCAAGGCCGGTGAGAAGTGCATCTTCACGGGTGCGCTCATCGTCGTGCCAGACGTCAGCCAGCTTGGCCTGCCGGGCTTGAAGCCAACTGCAATCAGAGATGACAAGCCTGCCGACGTTGGGGGTTCTGGTGTGACTGGTCTGAAGGCTCTTGGTGTGCGCGACCTTTCCTACCGCATGGCCTTCCTGGCGTGCATGGTCGTCCCAGATACCTCATCATCTGGTCAGTCCGCCAGCGGCCAGGTTCAAGACGTCATTAGCTCGTTGACCTCAGGGAAGTCCGACGAGACTGCCGAGTCAGTGGAGGCTGCTCAGGCGGCTGTTCTCGCTTCCATGAATGAGTCCGAGATCAACGAGCTGCGTACAATGGTGCACAGCGATCACATTTACTCCCGCCTGGTGCAATCAATGGCGCCCACAGTCTATGGTCACGAAGTCGTCAAGAAGGGCTTGCTTCTACAGCTCATGTCTGGTGTGCACAAGACCACTGCTGAAGGCATGGAACTGAGAGGTGACATCAACATCTGCATCGTTGGTGACCCGTCTACCTCCAAGTCTCAGTTCCTGAAGTACATCTGTTCTTTTGCGCCTCGCGCTGTCTACACAAGTGGTAAGGCTTCTTCCGCTGCCGGTTTGACGGCTGCTGTCGTCAAGGATGAGGAGACAGGTGACTTCACCATCGAGGCTGGTGCTCTTATGCTGGCAGACAACGGAATTTGTGCCATCGATGAGTTCGACAAGATGGATATTGCCGATCAAGTTGCCATCCACGAAGCTATGGAACAGCAGACCATCTCTATCGCCAAGGCAGGCATTCAAGCCACCCTCAACGCCCGCACCTCTATTCTCGCCGCTGCCAACCCCGTAGGTGGTCGCTACAACCGCAAGACCACTCTCCGCGCCAACATCAACATGAGCGCCCCGATCATGTCCCGTTTCGATTTGTTCTTTGTTGTTCTCGACGAGTGCAATGACTCCGTCGACCGCCACCTTGCGGAGCACATTGTCGGGCTTCACCAGCTCCGTGATGAGGCCATCGAGCCCGAATTCAGCACCGAGCAACTCCAAAGATACATCCGTTTCGCGCGCACATTCCGTCCGGAGTTCACCGCCGAGGCCAAGGAGGTTCTCGTCGAAAGGTACAAGGAGCTCCGCGCCGACGACGCGCAGGGCGGAATCGGCAAGAACTCGTATCGTATCACCGTCCGTCAGCTCGAGAGTATGATTCGTCTGTCCGAGGCCATCGCCAAGACCAACTGTGTCGAGGAAATCTCACCCCCGATGGTCAACGAGGCGTTCAACCTTCTCAGGCAAAGTATCATTTCTGTCGAGCACGATGATGTCGAGGTTGATGATGAAGAGCCCGAGGACAGCGCTACCCTGCGTCGCGCGGCATCCGAGGCCGCTGGTCAGCCCGTCGAGGATGACACTGCCATGGTTGTCGACGAGGCCGCGCCCGCTCGACCTAAGCAGACCATCACGTACGAGAAGTACGTCAGCATGGTCAACCTGTTTCTGCAGCATGTCGTCGAGGATGAGAACGAAGGTGGTGAGGGTGTTGAGGGCGAGCAGCTTGTCGAATGGTACCTTGAGCAGAAGGAGGACGAGCTCCAGGGCGAGGAGGATTACCACCAGGAGAAGACGCTGGCCAACATGGTGCTCAAGAAGATGGTGAAGGTAAGCAGTTGTCCACCACTCATACGATTCGTTGAACAGATGCTAATTCAGGTCGTAGAACAACTTCCTCATGGCCATCCGCGGCGAAGGCTTGATGGACGAAGATGGCAACGCTGGCGAAGGCGCATCTGCTGCTGCGGCGAAGATTGTCTACGTTGTCCACCCCAACGCCGCTGTCGAGGAGATTTGAATGGATGTCTCTCCCTGGCGTTGGTTGATTTTGAAGCAAAATGGAGGATAGTTGAATGCATCATGAGAAAAGTAATGTCTGCAGCATTTTGGCCTTTCTGAGCCTAGAGCAGTTGGGACGGTTGGGTATGTGTTGATACCGCCTGGGAGTTGTGGCGTTGGAGGACATTCTGCGTTACTGAAGAGGATATGCATATAAAGCAGAGAGCCGAGATTAGCAAGACGTGTGGTCATGCAGCACTTCAATGTTACCAATGGATTTTCCATTTTTCGACTGCCATGGTTCCAGCATACTTTAGCATGACTATTCTTGAATCGCAATAGCAAAAGCAAACGCTCGTCAAATCATTCTCTGGGCATTCATCGCCTGCAATGTCACCGGGTATTCTTGTGAAACCATTTTCATCATCATTCTTTCCTATCATGCACGCCTACGACGAGAACGTGCCATCCTGGTTCACGTTCGGGATGAAGTTAGGACACAGCCACCCTCGGCCTTCGGGACAGGTAAAAATGACCTCCCCGTTCTTCCGCAACAGGCCCATCTGGAACCGCCACTCCGTCTTGACGGCGATCCCGTTGATCTTGAGCCAGTACGCCAGGATGCCCTCGGGCGTACACGGCTCCTGCCCGCTAAACGTCTTCTCCCGCGAGTGCGTGTTGAACGCCTTCCACCGGCCGCCATCCTTCTCGACGGTGCGCAGGTTGACGAACTCGCGGTAGAGGGACAGGTACGTGAACATGGCGTTGGGGCGGCCGAAGGCCGTGATGTCGGTGACGCCGGCGCGCAGCTCGCCGTCGTGCAGCATCGAGTACCAGGTCCAGTCGAGCGCGACGCGTGGGGCGAGGATGCCGTTGTCGGGCACTTTTAGCGATGACAGTGCGGGGGAACCGTCGCCCCAGAACTGCAGGTCGAGGCGGCCCTTGTATATGTAGTCGTACGAGACGCCCTTCTCGACCATGTAGCGCTGGACCTGCTGCGCGGCGAGGTAGAGCGCCTTCCACTGGCTCAGCTGGTGGTTGAGCTTGTCGGCGCCGCAGGCCTTGACGAGGACGTCGGGCGGGTCGACGGCCTTCTCCTTGACGTCGTCGAGCTTCTTGACGACGACGGTCTTGAGGGCGTCACCGAAGCAGGCGCGGAGGTTCTTGCCGATGGTCGCCTCGTCGGAGGTGTCCTTGTCGCCGGCGGCGTCGTAGACGTCCGTGTCGTAGGTGAAGACGTGGACGTCGACGCCGCCGGAGCCGGTCCAGGTCTTGACGAGCTTGTCGTTCTGCGCCTTGCAGGTCTGGAGGTAGGTGCGCAGGAAGCCGGTGTAGACGATGGCGGCGCGGCCCATGTCGTCGGCGGCGCGGTGGAGGGTGCAGGTGGTCTTGGAGCCGGCGCGGATGTGCAGCTTGCCGCTGTCGAGCAGCTCGAGGACGGGCTTTTCGGCGCCGTCGCTGGAGTCGACGGAGGCGCAGTCGGGGAGAAGGTTGGAGATCCACGGGGTGGCGCCGTAGGGGGCGGCCGTCGAGTTGGACCAGGAGAGCATCAGGACGCCCTCCTGGGTGAGCTCGACCTGCCACGAGACGGGCCAGTGGTATTCGGTGTCGGAGGTGAAGAGCTCGGCCTCGGTCTTGGTGTCGGTGAGGGAGAGGGCGCCGCTGTCGAGGAGGCGGAGGGAGTAGCGGCCGGACGGGGAGGTCAAGTGGAAGGGGGAAAGCGTCTGGCCGGCTTCGAGCTTCGACGGCGTCTTGGATGTTGGTTGCGCATCTTTGGCCGGGTCGGATGCCGGTGTTACTGGTTTCGAGGGCGCAGACGATGCCGTCACGGCGGCAGCGGTCGAGGAGATCGTGGCAGCAACATCGTTACCGCCCTTGTTCGCGTTGTTGGCGGCGTCTTTGGCCGGCGCTGTTGGCGCATGGTTGTTCACCGGGGTGGGAGGATTGTAGCCGACGTGGGGGAGCTGGGGGACGAGGAATATCGCGGCGATCAGGAAAACGGCGACCACTAGGGACAGCCGGAAACACGTGCCGCTCAGCATCACGACGGTTGGGCTTTCTGGCTTGGTGGGCTGTCCATTGCCAGCATAGCCGTGTGTTTTATGGCGTTTGTCTAGGAGGAGGTTGTCCAATGAATCCGACAGGGGGCGTGCTGAGGCGGCAGGTGAATCCTCAGTGCGGCGCGATCGCGACGTTATCCGCTTATCGATAGAGCTTTGACCTTATGCATGTATCGGACTTGTTTCAGCGCGATACCTACATACATGGTGCCCGTGATTAGTCGGCACATGTAAGTGCTCCCAAATTTGTCAAGAGAATCTTGCTCAGAGAGCTGGATGTGAATGGCTTCAGTTCGTTGAGCTTACCTTACCCGAATCTGCCTTGTATCAGCTGCGACATATGGTACACAAGCATCTCTATTTGGCTTGCAGTTTTATGTTTTATGATACCTTCCTTGATTGAAGCTTTCCGTTTCTTGCAACTGATAGAATAGCTGTGCTTTGCCTCACCTTTCTATCTCTATCAGTCATTGACGTCCCTCCTAGTTGTCCAAAGCCTAAGCCGTCTTGGTCAATAGTCATGTCGTTCGAACAACCCGTCACCGGTATAATTCATTCTGCTTAAGCTGCATGACTTCAGAGTACTTTGGACAACCTCCTGACTGTGAAACTTCTATCTAGCCCTGGCACAGGAGAATTAATATCAAGACTGACACGAATTACAAAATAATCCAACGGGAGATACACAATCATCATTGTGCTTCGTGATGGAACGCAAGGTCTTACTTGGTCGACTCTGATTCATTCGTCTGGCTGTGTGGTTGGTGTTGGGATTGGCCATTGCTAGAAGTACGGCTGCTTGAGCCGGCTGCGAACTTCGGTTGCTGTGTGTCCGAGCGTAATGAATACTACAGATGAGCTTTTGATGCAAAGATACGGGTCTGTAGTCGCATAAGTTCGCGTGGAACATTCGAATGTGAGCGCTGCGAGGCTGGCTTATTATTTCGGCCTACAGGCAGTTTTATAGGAAAAGGGGAAGCCTACCTGGCAAATCCGTCCTGGTCTCTGTGTAACATGAACAGGGACCAAACGCTTCCCTTTTGACTAATCAAGAGGTGCCTATTTGGTACATTCACGAGGTTGCAGACAAGCAAACACTGCATTGGTGCGTGTTGATCAATTATCATTTAGACCAGACAATTTGTATCGAATAGAACAAGATAGATCAGTGCCACCGTAAGCACAGATGCACTGAAAAGGGGGTTAAGACACAGGCCAGGATATAGATAGCCCCATTTTGGAATGGTGACTGCAAACCAGCTCTCCTTTTGTCAACCAAGACAAGGCTGGAGCGGCACATCCATGTCGCTGCCTGTCCCATAACTTTCCTGGCGATTTAGTTTCATTCTTGCACCTACATTCCTGAGTGACGTGTCCCAAGGGTTCTAAGGGTTCGTAAGCGCTCGATATAAGATTTCCACCTACATCATTCCCGAATTAATATACCTATGTTGGGCGAGCTTACGACGGAAGGAGTGGTCTCTACTTCATCATAATTTCGCGCCATCTCACTTGCTTCAGAGGGAGGAAGTCGAGAAAATCTTCCCACCAGGATGTTTCCCTGATCTTCGAAATCGCTTCCCCGGCCATGATTCCATGAACTGCACGCATTAGCTTCCAAACCTTCTTTGTCAACTCACCGCTGGAGAACGCACCATAGGCTTCCCCCACAAGCTCGAATATTCCTGTGGCCCTTCCGTAGCTGCTCACTTTCTCGCTCAGAGTAGTTGGAAAGTTGCAACCAGCCATGATGAAGACCTTGTCGCCTAGTCACAGCGCAGCCGGACCAATGCATATGTATCTGGCATACTTCGTGACGAAGAATTGCCGCAGCGGCATCAAGTTTTGTATGGCGTCGGAAGTAGTGCTATCGGCCCACAATGTCATGTCAACGATGTGTGGCAAGTCACTCCTTGGACGGCTTTTGCTGCTTGCGAGAGCATAATGAGCTAGGAAGTAAGCTTCATCGCGAATTGACCAAGGCTCGATTGGGCCAGGTCCCTAAGCAGTGCCACACGAACTGCTGGCCTCGTCAACGAATATAGCATAAGTATGCAGAGTGTCAAGATCGTCAGCAAACCAACTACTGGCTTCTCGTCGGCGCAAGCGGCATAGCCATGCCCAAACACCTGTCTGACTTCCATGGCGCTGCCGAAAAATGGAGAGATCAGACGCGCGCGGTTAACGAACATAACCGGTCTAGCCTCGTGCGCTTCTTTCCGCCAGTCTGGAACCCAGGACGGCAGCTGGACACCATCGACATCGTTTCTGGTTCCATTCGCGGCCAAAAGAATGTCGAGTTTGTCCTCCATGCGAATCACATCTCGAGCCGTCTCGCAGAATACCTGTCTGACGGATTTTGAATAATCGGGCTTCAACAACAAGCCCTTGTTTTTGCCGACAAGACCCAAGACAGCAAATACTTTATCCCTGCGGTCTTTTGCTTCTCGGTCCCATGTGTTCCACAACAGATCGGAAAGCTTGCCGTCCAGCAGTCTCATCTTGCATAGATGAAGAGCGAGCCCATAGCGTCTCTGAAGTTGCCCCCACCGCCCGGCACGTTCACCCTTTATCAACAGGCCCATGTCATCCCAGTGGTCGTTATTTTTCATGGCGTTCTAAAAAATCTCCCACCGAAGGGTTTGCTGCCCGCATTGAAGACCCGCCCTCCCGTCCGCGCTCCAGACTTCTTGGACAGCCCAGGTGCGGCTCCACCAATCGCGGTGGATGAGCTCGTCGACAGCAGCCCAGTCATCTTGAGGTTTCTCCCCGTGGAACCGCAACATTTAGCTATCGTAACAACATCCTGGAGCTCCAAGAGTGACATGACTGATCTCTTCGTCGACTTTAATGTCAACTAAAAAGGCCATTGCGAGCCGAGCCCGGCGAGCCGTCTCGCCACGTGCCAGACTTTGTCTCTGAAGCCCCCACAGGTTCCAAACTTTGACGTTGACGTAGTAATTATAGTTTTCAGAGCTCTTGGTTTTGATGTACTTGCTCAATAATTGAACCCAGTCTCTGAACGTAGGTAGTCATCAATGAAAGTAGCATTCTACCAGGACTGGGCAGATCTTGAGGGGTGATCGCACGCGCAGTCAGGAGATGAGTCGAAGAAATGACCTTAGTGGACTCAGAACCGTCCTGGTAATCTTGGCTGAAAGCGCTGTCGTCATCTTGGACCAAGCCGTCTGATATGGTATTGTTGCGGCGTTGTTGGTTTTGACCCATCTGGTTCAGAAATGCAATTGCCTGACCACTTCCATCGCCTTCGATTGCCGGTCCCAACCAGATGACAACTACTCGGGCGCGAGAATAGATTTTTCGCCTCTGCTGCACTTGATCGTTTCTCTCCGAGATACTAGCTTGATTGATACAGATGGCGTCAATCCAAAGAATCCGAGTCTCGGACCTGCGGCGAAGACAGCGTAACAGGGATGTAACGTTGCGAGTGATATGCCCGGCGCCAGAAACTTCGTGTTCACCCGAGGTGAACACTGTGCCGGGGTTGGAGATGATGTTCAAAGTTTCCGTAAAGCTACCGGTGCCCCAAGCATAAGAAACTGCTTCAAATTGGGGCGCTTCTTCTAGTGGTGTTGAATGAAGTGTGCCAGAGAGAGCGGTTGTTTCATTGCCTGGGTGAACGGTCAGGAGCCGAATGTGCCCTCGGGGCAGGTTTCGGTAAACAGAATGCATTGCGGTGAAATGCAGCTGAAGCCGGTAGCCAATGATGAATCTGTATCGAAGAGGCGGCTCAAAGTGCAGGATAAGCAGACGCAGGCTGACTTTACCAGAATGAAACGTCGAGAGTGGTGAGGAGGTGTGGTAGAACGGGAAGCGATTCCGCACCACCAACTTGTTAGTTGGAAATCTATGAATATTCTAATTGTTTTCAACGACGCTTCTTATTTCTAATTGGTCATACCCCTGATCCGTATTATGCAGAACGAATATTAATGTTCATTTACTAGATACTTCATGTAGAAGGGACCAACGGTAGACTCCTGCCGAGCCACTCTACTCTGAAAAGGTAGTTACGGAAACTGGAGAATAACAACGAATCGCGGTTCACTCTCCTTTAACGTCACGGTCCAAGTACCATCTATGTATACTCAAGATCGTTACAGACAGAAGCACTATGGAAGGTCAACCTCAATCAAGCTCTCAACGCCCTTGCCTCCACCCCAGATCTTCACAATCTTCAACCCAGCAATCTTCTCCAGAAGGTTGTACCAGTCACCCTCGGTGCGCTCCTTAGAGCAGAAGAGTGTTAGCATGACCATATCAAGCGCCGATGTCTCCCACCAGGCACCAGTTGACGGAATGACGTTCTCATTGATGAGTAACTTGCTGTAGCCGGGCTTCATGGCGGCCTTGATCTGCGCCAGAATTTTCTCGCAGACATCGTCAGGCCAGTCGTGCAGGCATGAGTGCATGTAGTAGGCACGGGCGCCCTTGACGGGCTGTTCTGTGAGAAAGTCGTGGCCCATGGGCGTGATGGCTGGCGTCAGCTCCTGGATCTGGCCGATAACCACAGGCAAATCCTGCAGAATAAGCTTGCCCGGTGCGTCGGGGTGGTAGCGGTGGAATTCAGCCAGGTCGTGACCGATGCTGCCACCGATATCCACCAAGAAGGGGGCGTCGGCATTCTTGTCGGCGCCTTCGATGAGTCTTTCCTTGACGGGGAAGAACCCCGGAGCCATCCAGGGGTTACGGCCCTGACGGTAGCCGGACATGTGGTGGTTGAAGTGAGTGCCATCTGCGTTTACTTGTCAGTACGGGTATACATGCAAACTCGGTTGCCACGTTTCAACGTACAGCCCAGGTCTTGTTGCCATGAAAACATGTCTTTGTCGGTGTTGTAGGCGTACATCATAGATGTGTCCTTCGCATCGGTCGGGTTCTTGAAACCTCTCTTGCGAGAGTATTCGTGGAATCGTAAGGGGCCGGCGCCGGTGCAGGAAGTCCTGAAGGCATCATCGTGTCAGCAAACCATTGCATGTAAACCATACCAGAGCTGTGAAGTAACAGACATAAAAAAAGACTCACATGGCAATGTATCCGTCACCAATCATAGGAAGGCTCAGCGACTTTGAAAAGTTGGTGGGCTGGTACTCGTCGAGGCCTGTCTCCTTGATGTATCCCATAGCTCCAAGATGGCGCATGAGACGGCCTGAGATGGGATGTTAGTTGAAAAGGTGTGAGACGTAGATTATTTAGGAGACTTACTCAGGAGAGCTGGGTCAACACCAAGGGCTTCAGCCAACTCGGTTACCTTTTGGGGTCTATCGCCATTCTTGGCCATGAGCTTCCACAGGCCTGAGTCAACACCAAAGTTGATACCGGCAATGGCACCAGTCTTGCGGAAAACTTAGTTAGTTGAATGGAATAATAACAGGTGCCGAGGCAGAAGCCTACCTGTGCCCAGCAGTGCTTGATCATGGTCTCTCTCGGAGCCTCGAGAGCTTGGACAATGGACCGAGCCTTCAGCAGAAGCTCGTGACGGGCTTCTTGGCCGCCAGTGGACAAAGAGCCAATCATAGCATTAAGCTCCTTCAGCAGTCCAGGAACTGCTGCCAGGTCATTGGGGCTGGTGGCAATTGAGGAGTCGACGACTGGGGCGTCTGTGGTGCCATTGGCGCCATTGGTACCGTTCGTACCATTGGTGCCGTTTGTAGCTGGCATCATGAATATGAATAACGATAATGAACGAAGTAGGCTGAGGAAGAGTGAAGAAGCTGGGCCCAGACCGACATGGCGCTTCTAAGGTGAGTAGTTATATCGCGCCGCGAAATCAGTCGGAAGGAACCTCTTCGGAAGCCGGGAAACACAATGAGCATCTGCATTTGCTAAAGCCCCCACGTTCCGTAAGTCTGTTTCTATGACCCCTATCGAGGTCCTCGGAAGGTGAAGGGGATTTGGAGAGCAGCGGAACTGGCGTCTCTCCTGATGCAGCACAGTTGTTGGCAGAGCAGATCTTGAGGCCCAGTGCTCCATCCCACTTCGTCCGGGCCGGGATCCCGAATGTCCGTCCAAATACAGTTCTGACAATGTCAACGGGACCTGCCGCGATAAAACCAGAAGGCTGTGTGGCCTGCGCGCTGCGCCGGCTCGTGAAGACCGGGGCCCCGGACCACCGGCCCCACCAGGAACCATCTTCCGGACCAGGCTCGAGCAGGGGGCAGATGCAGTGTTGGTTGATAGTCACTGTTTTGGCTACCAACCAACAGCGCAAGAGCTCAACGGCAGTCCTCAAACGGAAATAATTACTCTCGGTCAACGCTGATCGGCCGCCGTCGTACCGTCCGAGGCTTGGCCACATTCTGCTCAACGCTCGCAGCCCATGTTTTTGGAACAAAAGAATATTGGCCTGACGACACAGCTCCATATCTCTGCAGCCAGACACACAATATGCTGTTGGTGAAGGCTCGGCTGTCGGGGTTCCAGCCGGGCCCCTAGACAATGAAGACATTTCTGTGCCCACAAACAGCCCATGTGGCTTGTCCATGGGCCGGGTTAACTTCCCTAACGGGAAAATGCGGTTGCCGGGAATATTCCAACACGATGAAGAACACGTCCAGACTCCAACAGATGAAGACTGCTCCCAACATCGGATATCAAGGTACAGATGAAGATTCCTTGCAACATAAATGGGGCCTGCGGGTACTTCCAACAACACAAAGACGATTCTTTTGCCCAAAATGATCAGACCGATGGTCTTGGCTTCCTATACCTGAAGTTTGACGCCTGTTCCAACAAGTGGTTGGAGAATTTCAACTCGGGATTCTGCTGCAGCCCGTATTTCCGCCACCTTCAATCGTATGCAACACGTTGCAGAGGGCCCACAGCCTCCTGATGTTTCGTCGTTTGGTCTGCCCGTTGACTGATCTTCACGAATCGTGATCAAATATCAGGATGATCAGGGGCGGGATGTGGGATTATACTGAATGTGGCAATACTATCGCCGACTGAAGGCAGCCACGCAGATTTCACACGTATTATCTTCTTTCACTGAGAAATATGAAGGAGTTTGTTTCGAGTCTAATAAGCCGGGCAAAACAACCCTGGATTTATGAAAAATAGCTTGGGAAGTTGAAAAAAAAATGAGCATGATCGGCAATCGGCAATTTTTCGTGCGTACCGAGAACATGGTCCGCGAGCAGTCTGGTCGGCTTGCATATATTCTTCAAGCTCCTGCATGTGTCCGAAGCTGTCTCCGGTCTCCGAGATCCTTCCGCATGCTCGTATGGTCGCTGACGAATTCTTTTCTGCAACTCCAACATGTCGAGTCCACCGGAGGATTCCGATGAGTGGAATGCCCAGGACAAAGGGCCGACCATCATCGTCGTTTGCTGGATCGTCACGGCCATCAGCACCTGTTTCGTTCTCGGTCGAGTCTATGTGAGGGGGAAGATTATGAGGAAGTTCCACAGCGATGACTGGTTCATCATCTCAGGGATGGTGAGTGTTTTCTTTCCCTTGGATTCTGTCATACAGACATCCCCTTCTGCGTACCATACGAGCAGGCCATCTAATCTGTGCCGTCCTTCAGTTATGTGGTTACGTCTCGACGGCTCTGTCCACTATCGCGGTATCCTACGGCAATGGCAAACATATGAAGCTTCTATCGACCGAGCAGAAGCAAGGCGCCATCTTATGGACAACGGCCGCCTTCTGCCCTGGCATCATGTCCTTCGGCCTGCCCAAACTAGCCGTGATCTCTCTTCTGACGAGGCTCATGAATCCAGGGAGGTACCATAAGTGGTTCTTGTGGTGGATGGGGATCTGGTGCCAGTTGACGCTCTTTGTGACAGCAGGACTTCTCCTTGGGCGCTGCACGCCAGCCAGGTCACTTTGGGACTTTTCTGTCACGGGCAAATGCTTCAGCAAACATATTTTAGTCGCGTATTGCATCTACGCGGGCGGTACGACGACCCCTCTTGGCCACACCGCTCTTCAGCTCCTCTGACACAAATTTACCCAATAGCATTCTCAGCGTTCGTCGATGTTTACCTGGCTGTGTATCCAGCAATAGTGCTCTTCGGTCTCCAAATGTCCACCAAGAAGAAAATAGCTCTGTCATGCGCCCTGGGTATTGGTTCAGTGTACGTATTATCCATCTGGCACGCATCATTGTTAGTGACTGCTGTGACTAATGGCCGACTCATAGTTCTGGTGTTGTTGCTGTTTACAAAACAACTCGAATACCGTCTCTCGCAAGCGACGACTTCTCTTGTAGGGCCTCTACCTGCGCTTTTCCGTAGATGGATGGGGAATCGCAAAGCTGACTTTCTTTTTCTTCACAGATGATACCTCTGATCTGGTTATTTGGACAGTGTAAGATGAACCCACCCCAGACACATTGGGCCAATTGGCTCGTGCTGCTAGCGTTCTCTGAAGACAACATTCTAATCACGGAATTTGGCAGTGTCGAGGGCAGTACCATCATCATCGCGAGCTCCATACCTGTTATGCAGCCACTCCTCGAGCTCATCCTGCGACGCAACCCCTTCAGTTCCGGGAAGGGGTCCAAGCAGACACCGCAGTACTATGAGCACTACGGCTCCCAGAGCAAATCAAAATCGCGCGGCGGCGGCATCGAGCTCGGCCAACGCAAGCCCAAGTCCAAGCCAAAGGACGACCTCGGCCTTACCATAATCGAGAGCGACGACAGTCAAGAGAACATACTATCCCCAACAACCGGTTCAAACAACCAAACCTTCACGTCATCGGGTGTTCCGACCCTCACAAACAACAGCGACTCCAGCCAAAACGCTGCGGATGGGAAAATCATCCGGACCGATTGCGTGAGCATTTCATATGAGGAGAGGGGACATACGCAAGTGACATCTGCTTCGAGCAGGTGGAGAGCCATTTGAGCCGATGTTCATTTCTTCTTAATATTGAATTGGCGCATGAAATAAGCTATCTGGTGGGATCAAATGGTTAAGAGTATGTCGGGCATTAATGCTCTCCGAACGGCATCAGATAAAGATTGTTCTGGGCAATACTAGTCCGATCCCTATCCAGTTCAATATGTATGCAAATTCATAAACGCACTGATCACCTTTATGATTAGATGGTGGAGTCGAATGGTATTTCGTCAAAGGTGCATGCAAAAGGCGGAACGACGTTATCTGAACATTAAACTGTATTACCACTTCGTGTCCGTGCTGGCGATGACGCCGTTGACATGAAAGCACTTCCACTCGTGGGACTCGGCTGGTCTCCATTAAGTGAATGGATATCTTTAAGTCTCCTCGCAGATCCTTCAGGTATTGTTGATGCATGTGACGGCGGGTTAACCCCGATCTTCCTCTTGAACTTCGGGACAAGGTCACGCCATAGCTGACGTACAGATGGCAAGCAAGCAACAATGATACCGACAGAAAGCTCAACATATGACCACATGTGTAGCCAAAAGGCGTCATCTTCATGAGTTAGCGGAGTTGATGTTGTGAACTCGAATGTCAGAACTTACACGTCGGATCTGTAAAGTTTCGAAAGTTCAACAACACTCTCAGACGTATAGCACTGACGATGGTGATGCTGGTTGTGTAAGTTTGTGGTGTTTGCGTTGATTCAAGGAAGATAAGAACTCACATGATACCCAATCCAAACATGCACAGGATCTCTAGCTTCTGTCGTTTCCGCAGATTCAACCACAGGACCTGTGTTACGGGCAAAACCAACATCCAGACATCCAAAGCGATGTTGATTGCCCCGTGCGATACCAGCATGGCGGTAAGGTTAACGCAGTACCCAGGATGTCGCCCGTCCCAGCCTTCCCAGGCAAACCAGAAAGGCTTGCACTGATTCAGATTCGCAATTGTGAAGGCGACACAGTTGAGAATATTGAAAGCTTGAGTACACCATAGAATCATCGTGAAGGTGGGACTGACGAGGTTGAAAACCCGTAGATAGAAGAACAAGATCGATGCTTTCAGTGTGCCGATGCTGACGGTGTAAATTATCTCAAAAGCGAAGAACACCTGATCGAAATTAGTTACATGGGCAATGTCATTCGCTCTTGGGAATCATGTAGGGAATCCGTGATATAACATCGGGGCTTGAGTGCCTTACCCGCATGAATCTGTTGATTTCGTCGTGGGATAGTGACCACACATCTCGGCCAATGCCAAGCTCGTAACCTGAAGCAGTATCAGAAATCAGTATCAAATGGTACGGCAGAGGTTTTCAGTACCGTAGAATTTTGAAACCGCGAAAGAGAGAGTGAATAACTGTATCCGAGTTTCAGCAAGCTACCATGCAACGCTTCGTGGGTAAGAACTCACATATCCGAGTATCAGAGTCCAGTCATCTAGACCCCATTGAGATAGCTTCATGGCTTTGGCGATCTGACGCAAGAAGAAAAAGATGGCGGTCACCCCGACAATGATTATTCTCCCTGCCACCGATCCCTGCTGATCGGAATATGGATAGTCACACCATGTCCATGTTGCATTCTTAGCCTCTGAATGCACGACACATTAGTAAAGTGAAAGCGGTCGCTGAGTGATTGATGGACGAGGATGATCAAAGATGCATCAAGTGGTGCAGAAAGTCGCGGTCTTACCGAATAGAGGCCCGATGGTACAGAAAGCGCGAACGCAAATCCGGTAGGTTTCTATGAAACTACGGTCTTTACACAGACATTCTGAGTTGAACTCAGTCGCTTCACAAGATGAGGTGAAATTAAGAGCTTCAGTTGCGCAAGGTGCCTGTCAATGGAATCCTGTATTAGTGACACGAAACTGACGAAGCTGGCAGGCAGCAGAAGAGAGATGCTCACAGCACAGCTTGGTAGGCCCGCCAACAAGCTGGAAAATGGAAGCGCCATTGATCAATGTGACGGCCGGGGAGCGAGGGTCAGAGAACCGTCATCGGAACTCTCGGAGCGGGGTGGGACCGTCGGGTCGTCCAAAAGAGCGGAAAGGGGGAGAGCGCGGGAGAAGATCGAGAATGGCCCCGGTGGGAGACTCGAGTTTATGTTGCACAAAGTTTTGTCTTCTCGGCCGTATATGGGAGGGCGGTTTCCTCCGGCAGAGAGGAATTTGTCTCGTAGGGCATTCCAGCTCTGGGCAGAGGAAAGGCCTTCCCATCGTGCGGGACTGCCCTCGGGAAATCCAGCAATGTGAAGAGATCTAGCCAGAAAGCCCAGGAAGGTGGCTGGACCGTTTCCGGCCGATAAGCCCGCCCGCAGCCCTTCGCGATGAAGAATGGGGCGACCCTTTGAAAAGCCAGCGGACCCTTACCTCTTAGCGAGAGACACAATGACGCCTCCAAGGGGGTTCCGGGAAACTGGTGATTGGGCACGCGATCAGAGTGCGGAGAGTATCCGCATCGAAAGTCAGTGATATTCGGCTCGCTGAGGAATGTTTCTCTCCCCCATCCCTTGCGGGATGGGGAAATCACACGGGACGATTGAAGGTTTGAACACCACCGAATTATTGTCTTATCAAAGACGGATACGGGGCAGCGACTGAGAGCCAGAAATGCTTGAAGCTTGCTGATTGAAGGAATGAAAATTGAGCCGTGGAAGGTTTCTGGCGCGTGGTTCCACGATCTACCGATGTTGAGCTGACACAATGCGGCGCGGCTGGCTGAGCGGCTATCAATGGAAGTGCATGCATCAAACACGTGAGAGTACTACTCGTACATAACCATCAGGTAATACTGCAAGTTAGTTGGTTTTCAGCCCTCACCTCAATTCTGCCGAATAAGGTTAATACTGCCGCCATGGGCCTCCGGAACCGTACCGCTTCACCTGCCAACGATGTCCTCCAAGATCTGGTTGTGCCAAGAGACTCCATACCTAACTGCCGTAGTTCTAGTCTCCCGATTCCGCCGGAGATTTTCTCCTTGTCGTTGGGACTTGGAAGACAAGTGGTCTAGATCGAGCGCATCCCTAAAGGTGGCCGCACTGCCCAGCTCGACGGCGCCGCCGAGCATCGCCGTTCCACCCCTTCCGCTCCGCCCCAGCCCGCTCTCTTGGACCGTGGTCTTGTAAATTTATGTGCTTCTTGTGTGAGAAAACGGCACCTATGCTAGGGCTGGTCTCTCCGGTTGGCGATGATGGGCTTTGACCTTCGAGCTGATTCGCCGTACTTGATCGCACTAACAGTACGATGCCAGCAGGCGATTGGGGGTTTGCAATAACTGACGCGTGTTATTACAATATTCACTCCATATCCTCATGTCATGACTCATTCAATAAACCAAGATCAATTTCGATGTAGCACAGACCGCTCGCTAGCCATTCTCATGATACATGCTACTTCCTTTCCACCTTTCGTAATCGTACATAGTTCTTCAAGGGCTTGTGTGTCACGCCATCCTTCGCCTCATACCCGCTCAGCTTCTCTGAGCACTTCAGCAGCTCGAAGTTCCACACAATCAGACTGAGTAAAATCCTCAACTCTACGTATGCCAGTCTTCGACCAAAGCAGCTGCGTCTGCCCATCCCGAAAGCAATCTGTGGTCCAGCAGAAGAATCGAACTCGTACCCAGGGCCAGTTCCGTTCAATTGGTCCTTCTCTTCTTGAGTGGTGACTGGCACGAGCCAGCGTTCAGGGCTGAACACTTCAACATCGGCAGGGTCCCAATTTGGTATCTTGCCGCGGTTCTTGACGGCAAGATGGTATGTCTCGTTTCGCTTCGTGTCGTCAATCTCGAAAGCTGGTGTGACGATGCTAGCCCCCTTGCCGAGAGAAAAGACCATGGTGCCCTTGGGGATGTGATGTCCAAGAAGGATTGTGTCCTCCATAGCCTCTCTTTCAACCAATGGCGCAGTACCAGCACACCGGAGAACCTCTTCCATCGTGGCGTACAGGTAAGGGACGTTAATTTGCATGATCTCCTCAATCCGGAGGTTTCGCTTTTCTGTGTAGGCTGCGGAGAACCCCTCCTCCATTGCATTACGAAGCTTAGTCTGGATATGTGGGCAGTCAGTGAGGTACTTGAGGGCCCAGAGCATGGTGGTGCTGGTGGTATCATGACCGCCAGTGAGGACACCGAATAGCTGTACGATACGTTAGTCTGCAAATCAGGAAGCGAGTAGATGGAGACTTTACCTCATCTTTCATGTTGGGCGCCAGATGATTCGATTTCTTCTTTTCTTCTTGAGCTATCTTTCTCTCCCTCTGAACCATTAAGTCTACCGCAGACCGCACCCATGTATCATCGCCCCCACTAGCATTCTGTCTGACTGTAGCTTTGTTCAACTCCCTCACGATAAACTCGTTCTTAACTCGCATCGTCTTATTCAGGGGTGGGAGCTTCTCGATGATTCTCCACTTCAATACGGGCCAAGGAGATCCGTGCAATCTCTCGATATTGATGCTGACGTCGAGAATGGATTGGATGACTTCGTCGGGTTCGACCGTGGGAAACTTGACTGCATCATCCATAGATAATCCGTCCCGGAGTCTTGCGACCTGTGTTTCGCTCAGGTCGCGGATGAGATCCGCCACCGGCTTCGTAGCATTGTGTGGAAACTGTTCGCCGAACGAGAATGCTGTCACAGCGTCCAAAGCTGTGTAAAAGATATCTTGGTAAATATCAAACGGACGCCCCTCCGCGATTCTCGTCTTCTCGGTCCATAAGTTGATCAAGTTGACGACATTCGCGTAAATAGCGGGCGCCGCAACATTCTGCAGGAAGGGTGGCGACATGAGATCTTGCAGCAGCCTTCGGTTCGCTTTCCACTGGTCTCCAGTTACCATTGTGATTTGATGGTTTGGAGAGGGACCTGTGAAGAGGTCGCGCAAGATCTTGCCGCGATCGAACTCTTTACGGCGCATGCACATATCCTGTGCTTCACGAAAATCGCTTAGTAGGACGATCGGTGGCGAAAGGGGTCGAAGAAAGATCTGGACGACGGGCGAGTCGAACTGAGCTGCTCGTCCAACGAGCCATGCTGACAGGTCGCCTGTACGTGCCACAGTACTGGCAAGGTCCGGCAAATCACCCATTATTCTTTTCGTGGATTCGGGGTTGTATGGGATGCCTTTGATCGGCTTCGGCAAGGCCTTCTGGTAGAGACTGTACAGCAGCCAGGCCGACACACCAATGGTGAGGATGATGAAGCCATATCGTTTAGGGAGAGATCCTGCCTCTTCCACGAGATGAGCGCTCTGAGACATGTTTACATGTGACATATCGAGTAAGCGTTGAGAAACGAGACGAACGAAGGCACATCGCTGAACAAGTCACAAGCCATTCGATGGAACTCGTAAGACTTTATATCAGGCACCTCCTTGGTTTCCCTACAAATAATTGCATTAATGCAGTCCTCTGTTGTTTGATGGCAGCCAAGAAACCTCCCTTGTTGTGGTCCAAGGAGCTGTCAGTTTCGGACTTAGCTTGGCTGCAAGCGCATCGTCACATTCCTCCTTCTGAGGCAACTGAAAGCGGCGAAATCACGTGCTGTTGAAAGTTTCCCCGCGGCGGGTAACGAACTGCATTCCATAAAGGGTAATGACCTGGGTTAGCATTTCCAGCCGATGTCAATTGAGTTGAACACTCGGACCTCTTGAGGATGGCGACGCTCCATGAACCCATCGGATCCTTGAACTTCTTTCTTTTCTTGACACATGATCCATGTTGATTGAACCGTTGATCAATTTGATTAGAAAACACTTCTACTAGAACAAAATGAGAGTTCAACGTCAACTTGAAACATCCATACCGGTGATGTGGTACTCTCGACAAAGGACGAATAGGGCAGTTTCCTCGTTGCGAACGACAGGACGAACTTGGGGCAGTCTGGGGAAACGGTGGTTTTCGGGTCCCGAACTCCGTCGGCCGGCTTGCGGGTCACCGCAGTCGCCGTGAATTGTTCGATGCCATCCTGGATTAGAATTCAACAACGTAGATGCCGCCAGGCAAGCCTCGATAAGGTAGAATTTGTCCCTCTACACATGCAAAACTTACATGCTGTTGATCAGAAGCTTGATCAAACTGCTACTGCACTGAGAAGCTTCTCTGTGTCGAAGTGTCTCTAGGGGGGCCTCTTCTGGATTGTCCCATGGTCCTATGATATCGCCTCCTTCAGCATTATTGACTCATTAAGTGCATCTGTTATAGGATTGTATGCATACCATGACTACGATTGGGATATCGCTATAGAGCATATGATAAGGAACAGGGAATAAAAAAAAGGTTAGGTTTATTGATGTGCCGTGCTGCACCGGGCTGGATGCCTTTCATGTACTGTGATATCAAAAAGGGTGAGCTCGGAACCAGTCACTTCCAATTAGGAATTTTAAGCCCAGGTGCGGACAATACGTTCTTATGAGTCGTCATAGGATGAAATCATTGGACTCGGTGTCAAATCCTTTTTGGGTAGGTGCCCGAGGTTCTAGCTTTCTTCATGACTTAGAGAGTTCGTCTGGCTGCAGCCTGTCAAGTAAACTCCCGCGCCTTCCGCGTTTCGCACACTTCACAAACTTAGATACTGAGTGAACGTTCGAAGGGCATTACTTCCGACTTACTGCGAAGAAAAATTGCTTTGGCTGGTCTCATGAAATTTGGCCATGTCATATTACAAATATGGTAAAGACAGCGACAATAATTTTGTCACGACCATTTTGCGTCTGTTATTTGCTGAAACTCTTGGGAACCTTTTATTACACCCTAGGTATTTGACATGGCGATAGACGCCAAATGTTCAAAATAAGATATAAAAGCAGGAGAAGGGACAGCTGATTGATGAAGTTGT